TGAGGTCTACTTCTCCGCGTCCGGCGCTGCTCGGCAACGCGGGCCAGACGGACTACGGCGCCGCGAACGGCGCGCTCGACGCCGTCGCGGCGCGCCGGTCCGCGGACGTGTCGCGCGGCGAGGACCGGCGCGTCGTCTCCGTGCAGTGGGGCCCCGTCGGCGGCCACGGCATGGCGGCCGTGGCCAAGGCCGGGGGCGCCGCGAGCGAGCGCGCGCCCTACGCGCAGATGGCCCTCGACGACGCCGTCGCGTGCCTCGACGCGTGCGCGCCGAGCCGCGCGTCCTACGACCCCGCCGCGGCCCGGCCGCCGGCCGTCGTCGCCGTCGTCGCCTTCGACCTGGCCCTGCTCGCGCGCGCGGCGGCGCGGTCGCCGGCGACGGCGGGCCTCGTCGCCGGGCTCGTCGGCGCGGCGGCCGCGGCGCCCGCGGCGGCCGCGGCCGCGGCCGCGGCGGCGCCGCGCGGGCCCGCGGACGTCGCGGCGCTCGTCCGCGGCGTCTTCGCGCGGCACTGCGGCGCCGTGACCGCCGTGCGGCCGGCGACGCGCATCGCCGACCTGGCCCTGGACTCGCTCGAGGTCATGGCCGTGGTCCGCGACTGCGCGGCGGCGACGTCCGCGCGGCTCGCGGCCGTCGACGTGCTCGCGGCGGCCACCGTCGGCGACGTCGCGGCGCTCGTCGCCGAGGCCGCGGCGCCGGCGCCGGCGCCGGCGCCCGCCGGGGGCGCGGCGCCGCCCGCGGCCCCGCGGCCGCGGCGCGCGTCGTCGGACGCGGCGCGGCGGCGGCCGTCGGACGGCGGCGCCGCGGAGCCCGAGGAGGCGGCGCTCGGCGAGCGCGTCGCCTTCACGGTCGAGTGCGGCGCCCTGGGCGCGCTGCTCGCGCTGTGCTGCGTCGCCCCGTCCGTGGCCCTCGAGCGCGCGCTCCTCCGCGGGGCGACGGCGCGCCTGTCGGTGCTCTGCGCCGCGCACGCGGCCGACGCGGCGCTCTTCGGCGGGTCGGGCCTCGCCGCGGACCTGCTCTTCGACGGCCTGGGCCTCCCGGGCCCGGCCCGCGCCTACGTCGCGCCGCGCTGCGGCGGCCGCGCGGCCGCGCTCGCGGCCGCGGCGGCCGGCGGGCCCGGCGCGCGGCTCCGGGGCTGGTTCGCGTTCCTCGTCGAGGTCGCCTACGCGGGCCTGGCCCACGGCCTGCTGGTCCTCCTCGCCTCGACGCTGGTCCTCGTCGCGTCCAAGTGGCTCCTCGTCGGGAAGCTCGCGTCGGGCGAGTTCCCGCTCTGGCGGTCGCCCGCGGCCCGCCGCGTCGCGAAATTCCCAACTTCAAAGGCTCCTATCTCGGCCGGTTTCTACTCGTTTCGGCTATTTTTTGGACGAGCGATCATCTCTCGGAGCGCTCTCGACGCCTGGATGCTTTTTCCGGAACGCGCGCGCGCGGAACACTCACGTTGAAGCGACGTTGAATCACTCTTTTCCCGCGCGAAGCAGGGCCGCCGCGTCGCGCGCTTCGACAGCGCGCACCGCGCGGCCGCGCGCCTCCTCCCGGGCGTCGCCGCGGCCGGCGACCGGCTCTACCCCCAGTGCGTCAAGGCCCTGCTCCTGCGCGCGCTCGGCGCGACGGTCGGGCCCGGCGTCGAGCTCGGCCGCCGCTTCGGGACGTCCCCGCCGAACGTCGAACCTCTCGAGCTCGGTCACATCGATTCGGCCGATGTTTGGACGAATCGACGGCTCTCGTCGCGTTCTCGAAGCGCGGCCGAGGGGTTTTGCGCGATGCGTTCGATGACGCGCGCGCGGACGTCGGGTCGAAGCTTCGAGTCCCGCGCAGGTCGGGCCCGGCGTCGAGCTCGGCCGCGGCGCGACGGTCACGGGCTGGGACGTCGTCACGCTCGGCGCCGGGTGCCGCGTCGACGACGGCGCCCACGTCCGCGCCGTCTGCCTCGACGCCCGCCGCGTCTCCGTGGGCGCCGTCGCGCTCGGCGCGCGGAGCCGCGTCAACGGCGGCGCCGTCGCGTTCCAGGGCGCGTGGCTCGGCGCGGACGCGGTCGTGCGCTGCGCCTGCGCCGCGACGGGCGTCGTGCCCGGCGCCGCGGCCTGGCCGAAGCCGCGGCGGCGCGGCGGCGCCGCGGCGGGCGCGGGCGACCACGCGTGGCGCGTGCGGCGCGA